ATATTAAAGCTAGAAATTCGATTTTACTATCATTAGAATCCTCTCATCGAGACGAATCCAATTATATAAATTTTATTAAAATCGAATTACTGGTTATGTTAAAAACAGGAGTATGTAGGATAACGAAATTTTAAAAATACCTCTATAATACGCAACTTTTGAAAAATTTTAATATAAACTCAAAGCTCTGAATGGTTTGGGCTAAACCGGGGAACCGATCTGAAACTGGCTCAAAATTTGGTTCAGATCGGTTCAGGTATTAGAACTGAAAAACTGGCAGTTCAGTTCAGTTTAATCTGATTTTTTATAAAAATGTGAAAAATCAAATAGTCATCCATCTAGTGATCGTACAAAGTCAAGCCATATATCATTAGATTCGTCTCAACACGACGCGTCGAATGGTGGTAAGATCATGTCTTTAGCATCGATAGATCACACGTTAACTCACGCTAAAAGATTTGTAAATAATTGGAATTAGCAAGCTATCTATCGGTGCTAAAGACATGATCTTAGTACCATTCGACGCGTCTCAGTGAGACGAATCCAATGAATATAAATTCGTCTGTGTACGACCACTGGATGGCCAATAATGTCAAGTTTCACATTTTTTTAAAATTTTTGAGCGTTAAAAATTAAAAATTCCGATATATGAATTTATTCATCATCCAATGGTCCTACAAATATGAATCAGGACTCATTGGATTTGGTCTCTTATACACATCTAGATGTGTATAAGAGACAGGAATTANAAGATCACGTCTCTAGCATCGATAGATAGCTTGCTAATGCCAATTTTTTATAAATAATTTAGCATGGATTAACTTACGATCTATTGATGCTAGAGACATGATCTCACCACCATTCAACGCGTCTCGTCGAGACGAATCTAATGAGTTTTAATTTATATTTGTACGACCATTGGATGACGAATAAATTCATGTATCGGAATTTTAATTTTTAATGCTCAAAAATTTTAAAAAATGTGAAACTTGACATCATTCGCCATCCAGTGATCGTACACGGACGAATTTATATTCATTGGATTCATCTCACTGAGACGCATCGAATGGTGCTAAGATCATATCTCTAGCACTGATAGAAAGCTTGCTAATTCCAATTATTGATAAATCATTTAGCGTAGATTAACTTGTGATCTATCAATGCTAAAGACATGATTTTACCACCATTCGACGCGTCTCGTCGAGACGAATCCAATGATATGTGGTTCGACTTTGTACGATCACTAGATGGATGGCTATTCGATTTTTGCATTTTTATAAAAATCAGATTAAACTGAATTGAACTGCCAGTTTTTCAGTTCGGTTCTTACAGATTTCAGCTCTAATCTGAACCGTCTATAATCTGGACCAAACCGACCCGTTTGGAGCTTTAACGCAAACTCAAATGTTGAGTTGTATCAGTATTGTTCAGGGTCTTACTATTATAAAAAAAACGTGATTTCTCTATATGTATTATATCTATACCCATGAAAATTAATATATACTGTAAGTAGTTTTGACCTTGCTAAATAATTTTCAATTAATTTAGAAAGTCAATTTCATTTGACTAAAATGGTAAAATTACGTGCTAAAGTTAATAAACAGAAAAAAAAATTCAAAAGTTAGTACCATTATGAAAAATGTAAATTTCTCTATATATATTATATACATACCCATGAAAATTAATATGCAAGTAGTTTCGATCTTGCTGAATAATTTCAATTAATTTGGGTTCTGTGAATGCCTTGTGAAGAAAAAGGAGCATTTATGTTAAGAATGGCTATTTCTAAACAAACCATATTCTCTAAGCAAAAATTTCACCTGACAGTGCACATGTGGAGTACTCTATAGCATGACAAGTGGTTTGATAGTTAATAATATTAGATAGTGTAGATTAGTTTTTATTTACTTTATGTAATTTACGAGTCTTTTCTTGCTGGTTAATAAACTATCAAATGCATTGCAGAAAAAAAAAAAAAAAAAAATTNTAACTAAAGTAGTAAAATTACACGCTAAAGTTAATAAACAGAAAAAAAATTCAAAAGTTAGTATTATTATGAAAAATGTAGATTTCACTATAATATTATATATTATATTTATATCTATGAAAATTAATATACAAGTCATTTTAACTTTGCTGAACAATTATCAATTAATTTAGAAAGTTGATTTCATTTGACTAAAGTAGTAAAATTATACATTAAAGTTAGTAAATAGAAAAAAAAATTTAAAAGTTAGTATTGTAATGAAAAATATTGGTTTCTCCATATGTATTATATTTACACCTATGGAAATTAATATACAAATAGTTTTGACTTTGCTGAACAATTTCAATGAATTTAAAAAGTTAATTTCATTTGATTAAAGTGGTGAAATTATACTCTGAATTTAACAAATAAAAAAAAATTTGAAAGTTAGTACTATTATGAAAAATATGGGTTTCTTTATATGAGATTTTTGCAATAGAAAGGTATGAAACTCAAAAAAAATTTTAATTTTACTTTATATACTAATTATGTTTTTTTACTGAAATAAATGCAAATTTAATATTAATTCAATTTTTGATATTTTTTGAGTTTTGTATCTTTCTATTGTAAAGACCTTATAGTATGTATTATACCTATACTTATAAAAATTAATATACAAGTAGATTGATTCTGTTAAACAACTTTTAATTAATAAAAGAAGTTGATTTCATTTGATTAAATTGGTGAAATTACATTCTAAAATTATTAAATAAAAAAATATAAAACTTTAGAAGTTAGACAGTTAGTAGTATTATAAAAAACACAAATTTCTCTATAAATTTCATTTCTAATTTATGAAATTGAGTTGTATGGATTAATAGTATGTTTGAAAAAAAAGTTACAATTTAAAAAATTTTTATTTACATGTATAAAATTGTAAAATGTAATACAAACAAAATTAATATAAAACTAAAATTATATTACTGGCAGTGTTGTTATGAGATAATATCCAAAATATATTACATAAAAAAAAAATAATAACTCTTAAAATTTTATTATGATAACCTTGTTCAATACTTAGTAAAAATGTTTAGCATCCAATTATACATAAATACAGTATATATAATTTTTGTAGAGTTTTTTAAGTTATAGAAAAGTACAGATAGAGTGTGAACATGTTCAGAACAATCAAAAAAAGCTGCAGACATCAAAAATATACAATACTGATTACTGGTGAATTTTACCAGAAGTAAAATTTACCTTTTGATAGATTAATTTTAAATTAACCATTAGTGAATATAAAATTAATCCAAATAAATAATAAGAAAAATTCAGATTTTAATATAGTGAATCTACATCTGATCATAAATAGATTGATAAGATTAAGAAAAATATTATATTGCTAAAATTCTTTTAATATTTATATTACATATATTTTTTATATTTTAATCTAAAAGTTATATAATTAAAACTTGATCTGTAACACTAAGAATTAGTCACAAATCAGGCAAATCAATCAGTTACTATTTAGGTTAAAATTAAAAATATATAATAGAACTATCAAATATATAAAATTTGTTTAATAATCCTTTATTTAACCAGTAATTTTAGCAAATTAACTTTTTTTAAAAATTAAAAAAACCATTTTTGCAATCTTTTTAGTATCTAGTAATTCAATTTTAATAAACATTTTTTTAATTTGTAACTAATATTAGGCTTTATAAAATAAAAAAAAGTTTATTAAAATTGAATTACTAAAGCTGAAATAATTGAATAAATTGAAATAGATATCATTTTACTATATTTTAAAACTAAAAGAAATTATTTTGAAAGAACAGTTTATTAAATTAAGTGATTTTGCTTATCTATATAATGAAGTTACAAGTCTGTTAAGTTAGCTTGTATTCAACATTTTAAATCAAATAAATTGGGTGCTTTGCAGTAAAAAGGGACAAAACTACTAAAAAAAATAAAAAAATGAGTTAATATAAAATCTGAACATTTAGAATATTTTTGGCATATAAAAGAAAATTTAAATTTTTCAGTAGTTTTATCCTTTTTTACTGCAAAGCATCCAATTATTCTAATTATATTTATAACAAAAATTTTTTATATGATCCGTTAATTTAAAGAAGAAACACTTTTTAAAAGAAAACTAGTAATAGAAGTAAATTACAAACTTATAAATTATTTATATACAAAAAGTTGCCTTTCTATTAACAATTAAAAGAAAATAAAATAATAGTTTAATTTTATCCAGCTATTAATTAGATAGAAACAGAACTTTTGGTTCTTTAATTCTTTTATTTTTTCTGTTAAGTTGTATTTTTTTTTAATCTTTTTAGATAAAATTTCCCTTAAATTAAACATTTTACACCTGATAGTATTTACATGTAGCTAGTTTTTAGTTAAAAAGAAAAATACTATTTCTAGCTAGAGATACCTTAACAACTAGTCATCTAGAGATTTTTGGTTATATCATTGTTTTTAATAATGATATAACTATATATCACACGTCAAATGACCAAAAACAGGCAAAAAAAATGGCTAGAATTGCATAAACTATTCGCAAATTTATATAAACTATTTACAAATAGTATAGGTTAATTTGCAAATAGCCAAAAACAGCCAAGAATAGCCAAGAATAGCCAAGAATAGCCACTGCTTTTCGCGCCATTTTTTTTGCCGATTTTTAGCATTTCAACCTGTGATAGATAACAGGTCAACTTTTTTTTCAAAGTAGTAGTCATGTTTCATAATGCTGAATTTTAATTCTTATATATATTTTATTTCTCTTATTTTATACTATAAGTTAAATGTATGCAAGTAAGCAATGTTATAAACTTATAATATATCAAGGTTGCATCTATAATAAAATAATAATATATATATATATATATTATAAAATAGCTATAGAGCTTCTTTTATAACTACCAAATATACAATTATATAAATCTTCATCAAAAGAAAATAAACTAGTCTAAGAATATCATTATAGTAATCTATATATCCAGATTTTTAAAGTGCCATGTAACTTAATTTAAATCTATAATTCTATAACATTACAAAATGCAAAAATGAAGAAAATGTTAATTTCTATAATATATAAATTTTACTTTAAAATTGGAGTCAAACTAATATAGAAAAAATTGTAACAGTTTATTATAAATACAATAAATAATTATTTTAATTTATGGTTAGATCATTAAACTGATTTTCATTAATACTTCCGTTGATGTTTCCACGATGATTATTAATGAATTCAGAAGTGTTATTAGCTTTAATAGTATCAACAAATTTTTTTACTCTATTTTCACTATTTTCAGCGTCTTGTCGGCACATTTCAATTATCATTAAAAGCTTTTTGATTCCAATATTTAACTCAACTCCTTCCAATTCACTTTTTGCTTGCTTTCTTTCATCATCATTAAATAATTTCAATTCTTCAAGTACATGATTCACAGAATCTAACTCACTAACATTAGGAACATAAATTTTTGAATTAAAACAATCTGACATACTCAAATCCTTAAGTTCTGATTGTCCAAAATTTGTTGTTGCTAATATTAGAAGCCGACGATCCTTTAAATTTCAAAAATAAACAATAATAAATAACAAATTCTTATATTATTTAAAATGAAAAGTCAGTCTTACTTTTGGTGGTCTCTTTTTAAACAAAACCAATAATGTTTGTAAAATAGGATTTGAAAACCTAGGCCCCAATTCAACCCAGTCTACACGATAAACAAATAATTTATTACTAAAATATGAAAATAACAATAATAAGTTTAAACATACGTACTGAGAAGCCGTTCAATATTATCTACAACGATAACACTTAAGGGTGATTTGTATGAGTCATTGAATACCTAAAAATAATGACATTGGTAATAAATATACAATTCAAATAAGACTAAAATTCAATACCAATTGTTAATAATATCTCTAATACTTTATGAATCATGCTCATCTTAGCTGTTTCCGAATATCCCACCATATTTTCTGGTGAAATCAATTTAATAAATGGAAACTCGGATGACATTGCCATGGTAGCTGCCAAAGCTGTTTTTCCACTACCGGGAGGTCCTTAAGGAAAAGAAAGGATTTGAAACAATATACAAACAATTGACGTATATTATTGTATTCCAAATATAAAATGACAGTACCATGTAAAAGCACACTAACGAGTGGAGTCCTGGAACTTTGTTTAACTTGATCGACTAAAAGTTTTCCATCCGATATTATTTTCTAAAATTAATAAATTATGAATCTCGGTTAATTTCATAATAATAAATTAATAAAGATATTTCTTGCAATACTTACTCCAATATTATCAGAAAATTTGATAATTTCATTATGTACGCACTGATTCAATTCTTCTTCACTGATACCAAATGCAGGGTGCACTTCTTTTAATGCCTCCACAAAGTCATCCCTAATAACTCGCACATCTTTCACATCTGGAGTTACACTAGCAAGTTCTTCTACTTTAACATGTCTGTTAAATGCAAACGAACTGGCACTTTTGACAAGCCCATTAATTTCAGCACCACTAAAATTCTTCGTCAATTCAGCAAGTTCTTCCAAATCAACGTCAGAGTCCATGATATCATTTTGTCTCATCTTAAGTATTGAATTAATCATATTTAATTTATCATAATGAATTGCAAATAAGAACCTACAATAGATTACCTTAGATGTATGAATTTTTAATATCTGAAGTCTACCATTTTTATCAGGAAGATCAATTTCCATATGTACTTCTAAACGACCTGTTCAGTATAAAAATAAATACTTGAAAGATAAGTCATAAGTGTATGGCTGTCAACATAATAACTAATAATAAATAAATTTCATAAATGGTTAACCTGGGCGTAATAATGCCTCATCAATCATATCTAATCGATTAGTCATACCAATGATCAAAATATTGTTTAGCTGTTCTACACCATCCAACTAACATAATGTATAAGATGAATTCAAAAGTGATATTTTATTTATAGTGAACAAAAAACAAATGTAACTTTTTGTAAATACAAACCTTAGCTAATAACTGATTTACAACGCTGTCACCAACTCCCGTTCCATCATTTTTGCTTCCGCGCTGCTTACATATAGCATCTAATTCATCAAAAATGATAATATGAAGCCCAGAATCATCTCCCTTCTCTTTATACTCTTTTTCAGCATCAGCAAATAATTTACGTATATTTTCTTCGGATTGTCCAACATACTTGTTTAAAATCTCCGGTCCATTAACAATCTTGGGTTCACGGGCGTTAAGCATTTTGCCAATTTGTCGTGCTATTAACGTCTTGCCCGTTCCAGGAGGTCCATGTAGAAGAACACCTACAATTAAGATTCGATTATAAAAACGATCTTATAGAATTTAACAACAATAAGTAAAATTCCGTTACCCCTAACATGTTCAATTCCAAACTTTTCTGCCAAATCTGGAGGAAATATTCTTGACGCAAAAGCACGTCTAAATATGGCACCAATTTCCGAGTCTAAACCACCAATTCCCATATTCTCAAATTTGAAATTCGGTTGAATAATTGCATGAGAAGTTTTGCTAAAAAATGAATTTGCATTCTAGAGTTTAAAATTTTTATGCTAATCATGCCCTTCTCACACAAATAAATTAATTTACCTTTTCAAAGAACCCTCTAATTTGATTGAAGAATTTGCAGCTTTCGTCCAATGAATACTTGTTTGCCGAGTTAAAATACCGCGCGTTCCTGCGCGTTGTTCTAAGTAACAGAATTTGGCTTAGAACTTTATACTTACGATCAAAGTTTAGATAAAACCATCTAACAATATTTGTTCTAGAACGAAACATATAAACCCAATATAATTTGCCAAATGTTATCTTGTTTATTACCTTGGCTTATATCAAAACTTTGTAATTCTGAAAAATCAATTACGTGGTTTATCTGTCTTATAGTAACCGCCAGGTTAATACCATGAAAATCAAATACAAGTTGCTATAATAGAAATAATAATGTAAATAAATAACTTAATTAATTGGTTAAAAAGATAACAATTGAAAGTTTACATACTTGCCCAATGCTGAAAATTTGGTCACTAAAACTCTAGAGTAAAATAAATATCATTGGTAAGACTGATAAAAAAATGTCTTTAAAAGTGTAAATGTATGTAATAATAACAACCTGGCAAAATATATTTGACATCTCGTCTGTATTAAATTGTTCATTATAATCTTGAATTTTCTGAAGATATCCAACTTCCAATTCTATATCCCCTAAATAATGATATTGACTCTCGAAAGAAAGATCATATGGTGCAACTGAAACCTCTTGATTTAAAGATAAATAAGCCCATCGACGATGAATATTGGCCATTCCTAATTGACGGGTGGGCTGATTTTCTTCTGACCTAAAAAAAATTTAAATAATATTTGTTGAACAATTATTCAGAAAAACGCGTAAAATAAATTTACAGAAAAATTATAATGGAATTCAAATATTTCAACGGAATAAAATAGTTTAATGTAGCAATAAGAATTCCTTACTTAATGCTAAACACAAATTGATCGTTAACTATAACATAGCGAACACTAGGGTGGAAATCTCTTGGACAAACGAACACATAATTTGTCAGAGCTTGAGTTTCGCTCGAGCTCTTCCCTACTTTCATAGTGATTGAAGGTTGATTGAGTGGATTGGGCACTGGAGAAGGTGTCTGACGAGGAGGATTATGCGGCGGAGAGTAATGTGGACGAGAACGATTATGCAGATCCATGTTATTAGAATGTACTATTTTTTTGTAGAGAAAATTGTTAATTTATATTCACAGACCCACTCTCACGCGTGAATAAATGAATAATGTCGGCCGAAATGAGTAAAAAAAGTACCTATATTTTTAATTTTCTTTTTATAAATATTTTAATTTTTCTAATAGATAATGAAACTTGGTTTTTCTTTAGTTTCTATAAATGATTTTAATTGTTTCTTTTTTTTACTTTTAAAGAACCGATGGTATATCGTCACGTGCAGGACGAACATCCGGACGTTCGTATCACCTTGTTACCGACTTGAATCGGAGATCGGGTCGCGCATCCGAAGGTATGAATGTTTATCTAACTCATCTATTTGAACGCCGAAAGTTTGACAATAACGTTCCAAGTTTCTTTTTGCTTTTAATAATTCTTGTTTATATTATAATTCTCTAGAATGGTATGTTAAAAAGAGTTTATTCTATACCGAATTAGTAAGTCATACGGTTTTTACATGCTTCATATATCTTTTGTAGTCTAGTTCTAGTGGTGTCGACCTCAGCGAGGAATGCTTGGAGTTTTTTCAAGATCTCAAGTTAAAAAAAAAATATAAGTATATCCTGTATAAGCTTGATGATAGCTATAAATCAATCGTCCTTGAAAAGGCGGTTGAAGAAGCTACTTATGATGACTTTGTAAGTGAGCTTACTTCAAGTGGTCCTCGTTACGCTGTTTATGATTTCGACTATGAAAAGCCCGGTGAAGGTCAACGTAGCAAGATCGCATTCTACTCTTGGTATGTTTTTTCTTTATTCCAAGTTTTAGTAAATAACCTTATTATGTGAGAGTTCAGATAGCACCTCTATAACTATTAAACTAATACAAATTCCCAGTTTTTTTAACATAAAACTCAAAATAAAGACACATGGTTTTGATTTTAGAATTCATGGAAAACGTTAATAATTTGTTAATAGTGTTAAGGGCCGAGTCTTATGACGTTAAATTTATTATAAAATGCAATCTATTAGTTACAATCTTATTAGAGAATGAAATTTACGCAAATAATTAATAATTTAAATTTATTAATAATTGTAATTTATTAATTGTAGGATACCTGATGATTCCAAAGTCAAGGACAAAATGCTTTACGCTTCAAGCAAGGACGCCATTCGCAAGAGACTTGTAGGCGTTGCCATCGAAATACAAGGCACAGATTTATCCGAGGTTTCTTATGAAGCTGTACTTGAAAAAGCTTCTCGTTCGAACTGAAGTTCATTGCAATTTATCATTATTAATATTTTTTACGTTATTTTGTTGTTTAAATAAAATTTCTGTATTTTTTTCATTTTCACTTCCAAATGAAGTTAACTTCGTAAATTTTATAAGTGAACTGACTAATTTATTTATTAAGAGGATCTAATTAGAAATATAAATTTTTTTAGATATCACATTTCGGCCATATAAATACATATATGTTTAGGAGCAAAAAAGATTTAGCTTGGATTCTTCAATGAAGACATTATACAAAAAAAGTTTATATATATTATGTTCGAAAATTCAGAATGATTAAAAAAAATTTGTATAGTTCTTCTGACTTTATTGAGAATTTAGGATTGTATTATTGCCTAATTTGTTCATGGTTCGTTTATACTTATTTCTGACCAAATGATTCACAATTAAATAATATAAATAATTATAAATTAAGATTTGTAAAAATTTTGATACTCTATTCAGAAAGAATATAATGAATGCATTTAAAGCCATTGATCCACTATACTAAAAAATTATTCCAACTATCCAGCATTTTATTTTTTTTTCAAAAAAAAAAAATAAATACAAAAAAAAAATAAATACTCATTATGTTTATTATATTTTAATTTATGCTTAAGGAATATAAGCTTATAAAAAATAAAATAAATTTTTTTGTATATTATTTCAGCCTAATATAATATAATTTTTGGTGTTACTTTACTTAATTATTATTTATAAATTTTTTATTTTTTATTACAATTTTTTTAATTTTAAAAGTAAAGAATTTTTCTAATAAAAATCACTTATAGTAAATGTTTAAAAAATAATTTTTGTATAATACTAATTTCTGTAAGAATTTTGATTTATTTTCTGGATTAAATAACCTAAGCTAAATCACTCCCTTAAAATTTATATTTAACATCAATCATTATTTTGAACTCCACTTTAAAGGTATATTTTTTATATCCTTCAAAATTTTTTTTATTAGTATTAACTAATATTTGTTTTTATTTTATAAATCCAAAATGTTAAAACTTCTTGGGACCATATGTATAATTTTCAAAATAATACATTTAAAGAAGGTATGCATTTATAGAAGTAAAATAATTAGAAATTATATAAACTAAAAGGTGCATTTAGAAAGGATATATATAATAAATACAATTATAAAAAGTGCTATTATAGAGGTTTAACTGTATTTTGAATTTAATTTTAAAGATAAATAACTTTAAATATTTTAATTTCTCTTTTGTCAGTAGGTTTTCAGTATTTTAGAATCCTTCTAAATAAAATAAATTTTAAAGGTATTTTTTTAAAATTAACTTTAAATATTTTAATTTCTCTTTTGTCAGTAGGTTTTCAGTATTTTAGAATCCTTCTAAATAAAATAAATTTTAAAGGTATTTTTTTAAAATTCTTTTATTCTTTTTTTTTTATTTAAATAATATTTTAATTTTTTTTTATAGTAACTTTTCTGAATAAAATTTTAAAAATATTTATTTAAATAAATTATTGATTAATATTTCAATTTCTTTTTTTATAGATTTACTAGTGTAATAGTGTTTTATATAGATCAAATTGAATAATTGAATTATTCAATTCAATTCAGTTCAATTTAATTCAAATTTGATTTAAATAATTCAAATTAAATTTAATTTAATTTAATTTGATTTAATAATTCAATTCAAATTTGATTTGATTTGAATTTATTTAGATTTGAATTTAATTCAATTTGATTGATTTGATTTAATTTGATTTAATTCAAATTTAATTTAATTCAATTTGGATTTGATTCAACCAAATTAAATTTTTAAATTTAAAATTTAGATTTAATTTATAAATTAAAAATTATTAAATTAAATTAAATCAAATCTAAATTAAATCTAAATTAATTAAATTATTTAAAAAACATTAAGGTTTTTAGCTTTTTAAGTAGCATTTCAAAAGTAAAACTTCAAAAATTTTTATTTTTATTTAACAAATATTAACCAATATTTGTTTCATTTTTTGTAATTCTAAAATATAAAAGTTTCAATTTTATTTTAAAAGTAACCTTAAAAAACACATCTTTTTATTTTATTTTTAATTAATATTTATTCTTATTTTTTTTTAAAAAATTTAATTACTAATATTTATTTCTTTTTTAAAAATAAAAAGCTGAAGAGTTTCTTATTTTAAAAATAAAAATTCAATTTTTTTTTCTTCTATTTAAATAAAACATTTATAGATAATGTTGATTTTTATCTTTATATACAGTATATATATAAGACTAAAATATCAAAAAATTAAATTTTAAAAGTAAACTTTAATTTTTTTTTAGCAAAATATTATTAATATTTTAACTTTTTTTTGAATTTTAATTCTTTTAAATTTTTCTGAATTTTTTTGAACAGAAATTTCAAAGGTATTTCTTTAAAATTAATTAATTTATTTATTTTTTATTTGGAATTTACTAGTAGTCATTACTAATATTACATGATTTTTTAATTTTAACTAAAATTAAATGATCAATATAAAATTTTCTTTTTGGAAATTTTATATAATATATATTTTACTTTTTTGGATTATATAACATTAGCATTTAGTAAAATCATCTTCAGTGATTTATAATAACTTTTATTTAAATAAAATATTAATTTATGCTTTAATTTTTTCTTTTTATAAATCTATAATTTTTAAGCTGCAATTTAAAGGTAAAATTTTAAAATCTATTTTTTATATTTATTTGACAACCTTTCTTTTGATGAATATGCTATATTAATTTTTTTCTTTTTTAGATTTTAAGATACTAGATTTTAAAGATATTTATTTACTTTTAATATTTTAAAACTTTAATTATATTTATTGTTAAAATTAAATAATAATCAATTAAAAATAAATTTACAATAATTTTTAAAAAGAAATTCTAAATAAATAAGCCTAAAGATAAAGTTACTAATAATATGAAAAATTAGTAAATTATCATTTGAAATTGAAAGATGAAATGCTTAGATTTTTTAATTATAATAATTATTTATAAAATTATTATATTTAAATTTATATTAAAGTATAATACTTTTTAAAGAAATTTATAAAACTATTATATATACTATATAATTTTATATATTTTTATAATAAAGTTATAATTTTATATAATTGTGAGTTCTGTAATCATCTGATGTTGAAAATAGAGCTTTATGACTAAGATGCTCTATTTCTAAATAAAGTTTATCTGCAAAGTCAAATGATCACTTGATAATACATACGTAAGGTACTATATGTATAATAAGTAGTTTGTAGTTTAATTATATTAGAGTAAATATTATTAGAACTTTATTTTGTATATAGATTCTTTTAATTTATTTTTTTTTACTTTAATAAACTGCAAATGTGCTGTAATAAAAAAAAAATAATTTTATATAATTAAAATTACAAAAAAAGTTTAGCCAAATATTACTAGTTATTATTTTAATTTATTAGGAAATAGAAATATTTTATTAATTGAGTGAAGTATTTTAAAAGTTTATGTTTATGAATATATAGACTAAGAGCAATGACAGATATTACCTAATATCAGTTTATTATAAAAGCTTACCCCCTCTCCTCCAGATAAGATATAATTATTATATATGTAATTTCTTATATAGTATATATGTAACCTAAGATTTTTAATTACCCCCTCTCCCTTTAGAATATTAGGTAATATCTGTCACTGCCCTAATTATTATAAATAAAATATTGATCTCTATAAAATAAATAAAAAAAAAGTAAATTAGGTATTATATATATATTTAGTATATAATAATTTTATATCACTAGTTAAAAAAGAAATATTCAATTTTAATAAAATTTGGCTTATATTTGATTAAAATTAAAAATTTGACTTTAATTAGTAATAATATTAATAATTAAATATCATATATTACATATCTTAAAAATTTTTAAAAAAAAACTACTAAAAGTATTTTTTAAACTTTATTAACTTTTTTTTTTTTTTTTTTTTTTTTTTTTTTTTTTTTTTTTTTTTTTTTTTTTTTTATTTAAAAAAATAATAAATTTATTGAAATAAATATTATACATTATTCTGGTATAGTATATAAAATCTGAAAAAAATTATATGTATATATATACATATAAAGTATTTTTTTTATACACAATCAAAAAATTTTTATGTACAATAGTGCATATTTTTATTAATTTTATTAATATTTTTTTTTAAGAAATTTTATAATAGTACACATTAAATTTCAAAAATTGTGCATATTATACATATAAATTTTATATACTGTCCTGATTTATTATGTAATATTACATATAATTACAATTAATAAAAATTAAAATTAGTTACTAGTATATATTAACACTAATTTATATATATTTAATGATTATCTAATTTATTATTTAATATTACTATAAATATTGTAATTTTTGTTATACATTCTCTTTGCTAGGACACTTAGGAGTACTATAATGGTAATATTCTGCACAAATTGATTTATGACATGGTATGACTCTGATTGATCTTAAAAGATAAAAACATATTTTGCAAATAACTTTTAATTTAGTGGTTTGATTTTGATTTTTTTTTTATTTTATTAAGACAATGAGAGCTATTGACTAAAAAAATCATTAAATTTAGATTACTAGATCCTAAGATAATATTTTTTGGAGGTCAAATCAAATCCAAATTAAATCTGAATTAAATTAAATTTCAGAAGAAAAATTTGATTTATACAGATATTATATAATAACCTATTTTATAATATAAACTACATTTACATTCACCTACATTATTTTTTATTTTTTTATAATTAACATTAATTTGTTTTACTAGTATATTTATATATAAAAGATTATATGTAAATTACTATTATTAATAAATTATAAGGTATTGTTAAATTTTACCAGTAGTAATTATTATTACCAATGATTAGTGCTTTTAACATATCGATCTGATTAGATTGGTAATATGATACAAGTGGATTGATATTTAATTATAATAATTAGTTTATATAATTATAAATATTAACCTTTAAAATACCCACTTAATCAGAAAATATTTTTAATAAACTAATTATATTATATTTCAGCAAATAGATTAATTTATTACTATTATAAAATTACTATAAATTAATTATATCTGACAAAATACATTATGTTTATTAAAATACAATTTAATTAGTAATTTATCAATTTGACACAAAGTATAATCTTATAAAATTTAAAAAATCAAACTGGTAAAATCTAAAATTAAAAAAATTAAAAATAATCAAAATAGTTAATCTAGTTCCAACAAAAAAATTTTTAAGTGACCAAATTTTTATATTATGTAATACTTAATACTGTATATAATTCTTAATTCTAGCCAGAATTATACATAATTTTAGTCAGATTTACATGTAATTCTAATCAGAATAAAATATCCAAATATTTAATTTAATAGTAAAATATTTCAACTTTAAATTACTATTACTTTATTAAAAATACTTTACAGGAAATTTAAAAACATAGTTTTATTAAGCTTAATCTAGTTTATCATTATATGTTCATACTTTATATTTATCTTTTTTTTTTTGAATGAATAGTAGTAATTTAAATTTTATCAAATTTAATTGCTGGAACTAAATTGTATGTATTGTAGTTAATTTAAAATTTTTTAAAAGTTAAATAGCTGAAATTATACTAAAGTTATAATTTTTATAGTAAAAAAAAATATTAAAATTTAAAATTAATTATTTTTATTATATTTTTAAATTTTTGCAATTATATTAATTTTATAAAGGTAAAAATATTTTTGAGCAAATTTAATACTTTTTAAAATTTACATTTTATTTAAAGTAAGTTGATTAGAATACTAAAATATTATATTACAAAAATATTTCAAATAAATTTAAATTTAATATATAAATAAATAAAGTAATAAAATTTTTAAATAAACCTTTTTTATCCTTTAACAACCTATTTTCAATTTAAAGAAAATTATTGAAAACTCCAAAAGGTAAAAACTGAACTTTTTGCATAATTTGAAAAAATTAAAAATTACAAATATTGAAAATGCATATACTTGCGCAGTAAGTCTATTGATCTTAACACGTGATTGATTTGTTCCGAAAACTAATTTTAAAATATATTATTCATCCAATATCTGATAAGTCTAATATTAATTTATTCCGCCGGGGCAACGCCTAATACATATTATCTTTCATCTAATATCAGTTTACTATCGGCCTTTCTGCCGTACTCCCTAACATCTTCAAACTTCTGTCTGCTGTTTTGTGGCAACTTGTCCATTCATCATCATATTCAACAGTTTCTTCTACTACATTTTTCTATACATTATAACTGTAAGGCTTTACATTTTTAAAGTTACAATATTACTTTCTTAAATAAATTACGTTTAATAGTTGTTTACAAATTTGAATTAATCTTATTTACTTCTAGGATGTCTGAGATTCGTCGGAAGCTTGTAATTGTTGGGGATGGTGCTTGTGGAAAGACCTGTCTTTTGATTGTTTTCTCTAAGGGTACTTTCCCTGAGGTATGATTTTACAAAGTTTGCATATTTGGGAAAGTGCCGGAATCAACGAAATGGGAGTTAGCTTTTTCTTAGAAATTTCCAACACTGGTTAATTAGTAGTGATTATGTTAAGTCAAGATACTTATTTAACATGGTTTTATCAAAATAGCGCTCTTAGAATTATAAACGCTGGTATAAATATATAAATCTTAGTCAAAAATATGAGTAGTAGTATATCAGTATACTTTTGTCAATATTAAACCAATTCAGCATAACTATTGGCGGCTGATTGCTTCAATTAAAGATTCTCACATTTACTTTTGATAATAGGTGTATGTTCCCACTGTATTTGAAAATTACGTTGCAGATGTAGAAGTAGATGGAAGACATGTTGAATTGGCATTATGGGATACAGCTGGTAATATTTAATTAACTATTCTTCATATCATATGATACTTCTTTGATGTGTAATGATTTATTAAACAAAACACTTTAATAGGTCAGGAAGATTATGATCGTCTTCGACCACTTTCTTATCCCGATTCTCACGTAATTTTAATTTGTTTTGCTGTTGACTCTCCTGATTCCTTGGATAACGTACAGGAAAAGGTGTGTTAAGTTAACATTTTGGACATTAAAGCCTAAATAATATAATTCTTTTAAATGGATCTTCATTTGTTTTCGTAAGAGGCATATTTCAGTTAAAATATATTAGCTAAAAGTTTAACAAGACATTATCTCTTTTAATATGCTAATTTATTTTACTCCTATAATCTTATAGTGGATTTCAGAGGTAATGCACTTCTGTCAAGGGTTGCCTATCATTTTGGTTGGTTGTAAGAAAGATTTGAGGTTTGATTCTAAGACAATTGAAGAGCTACGTAAAACGTCTCAAAGACCAGTGACACCGGAAGAGGTAATTTTTTGAAAATAATTACGATAATAATGTATTTTCATTTCATTCTAATTAATTAATCTCAATAAGGGAATGGGCGTTGCATCGAAAATTGGTGCATACAAATATTTGGAATGTTCGGCCAAAACAGGTGAGGGCGTCCGTGAGGTATTCGAACATGCCACACGGGCGGCTCTTTTGGCCAAGAAAAAGACAAAAAGGCATAATATGTGTTTAGTTTTGTAGATTTGGTAATTCGAGTGAGCAAGTTTAAAATACAAAAAGACGGGTCAAAAGAAATCGTTTAATCTGGTTGTCCTACTTTTTTATTACCCCTTCTTTTCTCCTTAATTTTTTTCATTTCATTTGTTTATTTTATTTTATTTTATTTTTGGACTAAATTATATGTTCTATCATTACTAGTTTTATTTTATGAAATTTTATAATGTGGAATAAGTACACAAATTATTATATTTCTTTTTAACTGTATCTTTGATTTTGATTATTGTAAGATTTAAATCGATGATTTTCATTTACATATCTCTCGCGCGTATATATAACAATTTACGATGCTCTACTTGGAAATTCATTTACCGATATATTGTACTCAATAGGAAATTTCAATAACATGTTACAATCATAATTTTAGTCACGCGCAGGTAGCGGCTTGAGTTCCTACCAAATCTTATAAACGCAGTACATCTGATCAACAATATATGATGTGTTTATTTTCAGTCAATCACTTATGGTAACTAACTTTTTCCATTTACAATAAATATTTCAACTTTTTAGTTGGTAATACTGTAATTATGGTATTTGGCAGATAATTATATTTTATAGAATTATAATATTATATTGCTTATTAATTTTATTAAAATATAAATATATAAATTATCCAATATTATATATTTTCAACTGTTGTATGTTAAATAAAAAAAAAACAATATTTTTTTTTTTAAATGGAGTATTGATATTTATACCACTTAGACAAAAGTAGTGGGAATTCATAATTCATTAATTATTCAAAACATACATATTAAAATTTTAACATGTAATAACATAGATAATACAGAATATATATCCTTCATATAACTATGTTAATTAAAAAAGAAATTTAGTAATTGCTACATTACTTATATAAAAATAGTGATCCTTCTTCTATATTTGCTGATTACTAAAATTACATATAATAATAATGCTTGAAATTTTAATGTAACAATATAGATTTTAAAGAATATAAAGTCAAATTGTCATGCTTTTAACTTTTATACAGCTGTATTAATTTTTTTTTTTTTTTTTTTTAAAAAAAAAATTTTACTCCAGTAATTTTTTGCTTATATATAATGTAACCTTATCAAACTTCTTCTTTATTGGGATCCAATCCTCACATATGTGTTTTTTTATAAAGGTATCCATTGATTTCTTTACCATAGGAATTGACTTTTATACTTGATCTGCTTTTTTTGTTTGTATATCTTTGCTTTATCTGAAGGTTGATTTAAGTTGTTTTTTATTTTGGGTTCTAAAGTAATTTTATCTGTTCAAGTAATGCCTTTTCTTTTTTCTCATAAAATAACTTGTTCACATCTTGGTTTTCATAATAATTCTTTAAATGTTAAAATGAACCATATTAAAATATTGGCCATAAGTATCTGTGCCTCATTAAGAGTTATTTTAAAATCTTTTTGTAATTTTGTTGTTAAATAAGTTTCAACTTTCACTTCCAATGCCAAGTGTTGGAACTTTTGGAATTTTCTGATCTTGCTGTAACTTCTAATATATCTTGTAATACATTTCTAATAAAATTTTCACCTTAGCATTTAATTTGCTTTTGTTTTAAGCATATAATTATAAATTCTTCTGTTGTAATCTCCAAAATTTTTTGCCAAATCAATTCATATACTTGGCATTCAAATAAGTGATTCCAATTTTCCTTCTTGTTACAGTTCATAAAATAAATCGCCTAATATTAACTTTAATAGGATTATCTATAAAAACAGGAAAATAAGATAGTATATTATCAATAAAATCTACATTATTTCTAAAAAGATTATTTTCACATTGTCCTTTTTTTGCCAATTTGTCAGCTATATCATTGCCTAATTTCTGATGATTATTAAATTAATGATATTTCATTTTTTAAATATATACTAATTTTATTCATATATTACATTGCTGAAACTTAAGAATTTAATACTGCTAAGTCACCTACTAATTATCTAAATACCATCTATTAGTAGATATAAATTTAAGTTTAAATAATACAATTAGGTTACTTTTAAGGTAACTTAACTTTTTTTAATAAGCAACTTTTAGGTAAAAGTTTGTAAAAGTTATAGGTAGCTTAAAAAATTATAAATAAGTAACTTGTAAATTACCTATAGATAATTTAATAATTTACTAATTAGCAGCTTTTATAATACTTATAGATTACTAAGTATTTATGTGATTAGGCTATTATTAATCAATTTATAAATAGTATTTTAGGTGATCTAAATATTACTATATTAAAGTAAATATATATTAAATTACTAAACCACCTAGTAGCAACCACACGTCAAATGACCAAAAACAGGCAAAAAAAATGGCTAGAATTGCATAAACTATTCGCAAATTTATATAAACTATTTACAAATAGTATAGGTTAATTCGCAAATAGCCAAAAATAGCCAAAAATAGCCACTGCTTTTCGCGCTATTTTTTTGCCGATTTTTAGCATTTCGACCTGTGAACCAGTATGTAACTATGTAACTATATTATAGTAATAATATAATAAATATAGTAAGTAATAAACTAAATAGCTGTAGAAATGAGTAACATAAAAAATTAGTTCAAAGTGAAATTCAGAATAATACTGACTTGGAGTGAGTGAGTAACTTAATGCAATAAAAAAATCATATTTAATATATATAAAACTTTTCTGAAAGCTTTACTTAAAACATCTATGCATATACAGTCAACTTTCTTTATAGTCACACATTTGTGATAGTCCATATTTGGTAATTATAAAGAGATGTAACTATATAAAAAATTTCTTATATTAGTATATTATAATTCCGGCCAAAAATTAACATAATTTTGGCCAAAATTATACTTAAAACTTTATTGTATCGTAACTCTTCCAATATTAATCATAGAAAGATGATCTTACCGCCATTCGATTCATCTTGATGAGACGGTTTTAATGGTATAAATTACATTGAAATCCAATCACTAGATTAATTTCCGAAATTAAAAAATATTAATGGTTTTTGTGTAATAACTTTGCTAATATTGATCCTAGAAAGACGATCTTACTACCATTTGATTCGTCTTGATGCGACAAATCTAATGGTATAAATTACATTGAAATCCAATCACTAAATCAATTTCCAAAATTAAAAAATATTAAATAGTTTTTAAGTAGTAACTCCGTCAATATTAATCACAGAGAGATGAGCTTACCACCATTCGATTCATCTTAATGAGGCGATTCCAACGAGCTATTAATCGTCCTTTTACTTTGCTAGTGTTTACGGCCAAGCCTCCCTCTACCTCTTTTTGAGGCATTCTCGGGCTAGTATCCTATCATCTTTATTGGGCAACTATTATACCGAGTACTTAATTCCTCAGGCAACAGCACCACTACAGAAGACATTCCCCATCAGGCCACTTTTAAGGCAGATCTAAAGCTAGAAATACACCGCCTACTCATCCTATACCCATTGCATGATACTGGTACTCAATTTATTTTACGACCTTTAGAGAGCACTTACTTTTATGGAGGACTTTTGACAGGTAACATCAACTATCTAGTACCCTTCCATACCACCATTTTAGGTATCAAGTCTCACTCAAAGGCCACTACAGCCCACGATTACCTAGCACTGATAGTACAGTTGTTTACCCCAAATGGTATACTTTGTAGTGACCACTCAGACAGGAAGTAGCTGGCATTTGTCCATGATCATCCTTTATGGTAGGTATCATCAACCACCAGGGATCACCAACTAGGACCCAAAAAGTAGGGAATCGAACCCCATAACTATGCTATCTATTCTGTGCACGAACACCTTAGTTGGTCTAATACCTAACAGAAGGTCAAACTACCACTAAGATATTGCACTCTTAGCTTTACCATCTAGGATGACTATCTAGCCATTACTGACTCCAAGTGGTATCGTAGAGTGACCACCCGGACAGGAAGTCCTCCCAAGGTATAGTAGTGACCTCAAGGACAGGACTGTGCACATACCAATGGCCTCATAGGGAATGTTAGAAGGACACCATGACCCTTAGTTGAAATGTGCGGCCTAACCGTATACACTAATTCATTATAATGCAGTCTAACTACGCTAATTCCTGTACCTTCACGCTATTGGTTGTAGCGTCTGCAGTAAAATTCGTTTAATTTCCGTAATCGGTGGAATTGAACCTGCGACCTCACCATACTCAGGCCAGGGACGATGATTTTATGCTATCACATAATATCACATTAAACGCATAATTATGCAATAAATGCATAATTTAAGTTGATCGCGACATAAAATCACATAATTTAATTTATCACATATCAGAATGCATAATCTGCAGTTATCCGCAGTATAAAATTTACTACGGATTATCATTTCGATAATTCGATCTTTTTTTTCTTTCGCAATGTCAAAAAAACCAAAAACTGCATCAGTTCATACCAGATGTAATGAATATAAAGATATTTTCCGAGTTGATGACAGCATTCTTTTTTGCAATTATTGCAACATTTCTGTAGATTGGAAGCGTAAATCTACTGTAGATAATCATTGTAAAAGCCAGAAACACATTTCTAACGTAAAAAGTCAAGAAAAAACCCAAAATAATACACAACTTACTCTTTCATCTACTCAGGCAGCTGCTGAAGCAAAAAAGCAACTTATTGAAGACCTTATAGAGGCATTTGCAACAGCAGACATTCCTCTTGAAAAGGTCAATTCTTTACTTTCATTTTTTAAAAAATACATTAAAAACGGAGGGTCTATTCCTCAAGCTCCTACCCTTAGACAAAATTATTTGCCTAACGTTTTTGACAAACACTTTCAGTCACTTAAACTACTTTTTGATTCAAAACCAGTGGCTATAATTATGGATGAAACCACTGATGACTGTGCTCGAAGTGTTGTCAACACCATTTTTTGTTATCGCAATGAAACAAAACTAGTTTCGGTTGACTTTCTTGAACGTGTGAATAATACCACAATGGGGCAAGTTCTCACTACTATTCTTGCTCATTTTAATATATCCTTCAACTTGCCTCGCCTATTTCTTACGGACTCAGCAGCATACATGAAAAAATGCCATCGTGAAGTCCTATCTCCACTAATGCCTCAATTAACGCATGTGCCATGTTGTGCACATATTATAAATCTTATCGGGTATGTATAATTTATTTCTATTTATAAAGAGGGGGCAAATTTCACGGCATAGCATTTAATATTTTTGTATTTTTTTTTTC